TCAGCTCGTAACATGAATAGGAGAGGTGCAGCTTGGAATCAAAACCTATTTTTTGTTGCTGTTTCACTGCAGAAGTAACTATGGCAGAACCTTGGTATTCATGCTGGAATTCTTATTCTATTCCTCTGATGGAGAGTGTGTTCATAGGAGCTTTCTCTGCAATATCTTGTAAGGAAGAAATACATGCTTCTATTGCAGACTCACAATTCAGCTTGTAATATTGTTCTGACTGTGTTATAAATGGAGTCTTAAAAATAATTATGGTCTCTGTTGCATAAGGGAAATATAAAAGCCAGACACAAAATAAAAGGATTTCTAAGACAAAGAAATCCTTCCTTCTCCATTCTTAATATCCCCAGGTGAGTTCAGAAGGATATTGAACCCACTAAGATACTCTCCCCTTGAAGTGCTCAGAAGAGAGGTTATAAGCACTTAGATTGTTCTTCAAAGACAAGCGTGGAGAAAAATCTTGATTTCAAAGGTAATGAAATTGTAAAGAAACAATTACTCTCAGACTATCAGAAGGCAAGTAAAAAAATCTTCTGCATGTGAATAGGAATTAGACAATATGGCAAGCCATGAAATTGTACAGATCTAAACAGTTTATGATCATCTTAGACCATAACTCTCCCACTCTCTGAGAGCTTTTTGTCATTCAACATGATTGGCCAGTGGAAGATACAGACTCACTGCTGCAAGTAGAAAAAGGTCTTGTAAATGTTATGCTTTGACTAAGGGTGACTTATCACCTCACTTGACCTTACACTGTGTTTGGCCCATAGAGGGCAGTGACATGCAATTAATAAAACAGCTTTTCAGAGAGTGAAACCAAGCCATCCTCTTCACATATAGTTTTAGTAGTCTCAGTGTGAGTTTTGCTAAAGAAAAATATCAAAGGAACAGTTTACTATCATCAGAAAAAAATCTAGTTGTTATGTGTTACTGGTGATGTGATATTGTTAGGCTTTTGCTGTCAATTGAGATATCTTGCTAAAAAGTGGACTTTTCACAAGTTTTTAGGGAAAATATATTTTGCTTGTGCGTTTTATGTTAGTGAGCTCTAAAAACCTGTTTTCCTCCTTGGAATAGTTTCATGTATGTAATAGTCAAAAACGTAATTTGGTCCCATGGTTCAGAAATCAATTTAGCTTTCTGTTTGAGAAGACAGGTGTTTTTCCTCTTATTTTTACTGGCTTCTGGATGTGGTTTTTTATATTCCTTTGAAATGCTGTTTTTAACTGAGAATGGTAGGATGGTCATTATACAAGAATCTCTTTACCATGCCTAACTGAAGTGGAAATGCTGACAAGAGTATGCAAATTGGAAAGTAGATGTTGACTAGGTTTTAGAAATGAAAGAGAGAAGTTAATAGAAGTTGAAGTGTGAAGTGAACAAAACTGAACTGGGAGTCCAAGGAGAATGTCATGTGGTGTTGTGAAGAACTGGTAATGTGATGCCAAACATGATGCTTAAAACCAGAGATGTGGATGGGTGGCTGCAAGATAGATCATAGTATTTGGGTTTTATGGTTTCTACTAATTTGTTTACTTGTTTGTTTAGAAACATATGCTGTTAGACTACTCCAGGTTAAATTGGAAAATAGGATTTTTACCCTGACTAATAGCCAACATGATCAACCCCCACACATGTGGTCCAACCCCAAAATTTTAATCATCTTTTATTAGTCTAGTGCAGCACAGTTAGACAGGGCTGACAACCCTGGAAGAAAAGCTATCTAGAAACTCAGGACACTCAGTAAGCATGTGAGTTAGTAGAACAGCCTCATCAAAACACAAGGAAGAGTGGCTCTGTGGCCTCCAGTCTGCTCTGTGGTGAAACACATTTCTTCTTATTGTCATATATCTCTTTTATATGAATGCACATATATTGGAATGAGAAAAGGTCACAGGTTTTCTGGATGCAACGGGAAGGTCAAAGTACAGTCATTTCCCCCCACCTCCAGGCCATGTAAGTATTTTTGAAGCAAATGCATTCCAAAGATATGAAAGAAATGCCTAAGCACCAGACAGATTAAATGAATGCAGAAAGAAAAACCCACAATAGTTTGTGAAGTGGAATCTGCAAAGCTTATAAGCTATGATCCTCTCATGCCAAAGTGTACATCCGGAAAAGCATATACAGCTCACATCCTTTGGCCAAGCCAGTTCCACTGCCTGGCCTGGGGAGGGGAGGGTCAAGTGTCCTGTTTGTCTCCCTTTCGTACTTCTTGGCTGTTTCATATAGACAATGTACTTGTACTATTGAAAGAGACCAATTATTTTCTTTTTTTTCCTTGGTTGGAAACAGAAATGTTGAGGTACTGACAGTCTGACTTCTGTTCTTACCCCACCATCCAAATATTTCTGAAGTATGTTTCTCAATAGGAAAATACACGTTTAAATATAAAAATATAAATATGTATATAAAGCAAATGTAATCTGCAGTCCGGATTAGAACAGCCTTCATGCAATTATACAGGAGATAGCGTTTCTTTTCATTTTGCTATGTATACCTGTAGCTGAACAAGTGAAAAGTCACTCAGTATTACTGTCTGTAATGCTTCTGTTGTATAGGGACTGCTGCAGATGAACTCAGTCAAAAAAAGAAATAGCTTTTTCTTCTATATCTTGTTATCATTCCTATATTCAAGACTTTGCGAGATGTGAGATGATCACTTTAAAAAAAATAATAATAATTTAATTTTAATTTAAATTCCTTTCTAGCAAACAATTTTCTACATATCTCAGTGTCTCTTGGACGGGGGATCGGGAAGAAGTAATGCTCTCATTCTTGTAACTGCAGAAAGACTTCATAATTCATGGTTATGACATCATTGCTAACAATACAACTGTGAGGATCAGATTACAGCTAACTGTGCTACCTTTAACATTTTCAGGTTTTATACAAATATTTACCCATGTATATTATAGGATGTTCCACTGATTTCCATAAGCTGAAATGAACTGCAGGTTTTTTTAAAAATATTTGGGTATTATTCTTGTGGCATATGCAAGTTTTGAATGCTTCTAGCTTATTTAAATACATAAATTGACAGAAATTGCCTTATTAAGTCTCCTAAGTTCACTACTAATAAACAGTACTGGGCTACTTTTGTAAAATTAATGAGTTATGTCCTATAGATAATGTCTAGGAATTTTTTCCATTCCAAAAAATTCTCAAGGGCAGACAGAAGAGGTTCCAGAAACAACAAATTAATTTAATGTTAAAAAGTGCTTCTCTTTTAAGTCTTGCTTTATTCTCCATGTTGGAGACCTTAAAGCCAAATGTATCTCATCATAACAATGCACTTTATTCATGTCATGAGTAGACAGAAATATTTCCAGACTGAACAAATTATCCTAAGAATATATAGCACTCTTATGGAGATAATTTAAAAAGGCTATAAACAACAGGTATTTAGAAGTTAATAATTAAATTATTAACACAGATTTGATGAACAGGAATAGTAAAAGTACTCAGATTTGAAAAAAAAGACATTTTTCCACTACTAAAATCAACTTCAATGATAGTATTTACTCTTTTTGAGCTCTGTGTTATTATAGATTCCTCTGCACTCTGTTTTAGAGTTGAAATTTAAGTGCATATTTTAGAAAGGTTTTTATTTTCATTCTGGTTTCAGTTCCCCTAAGTTTTATTGATTATTGGCCTGAAAGGGAGCTGGCATACTGTATTGAATAAATGGATCTCAGATGTGATAGCACATGAAATTCAGGTGTCTCACTGTGAGAAATGTGCTGTGAAAATCGCAACCAATTGTCATCAGCCATCTGTGGAATAAGTGGCACAAAGCTCCTACTATGTTATTTTCTCTTTATTTGAATGTGTCATTGACTTTAAACCAATGAGACATCACTGAAGGAGCAATACCTAAAATTGCTGCTTACTTGCTTGTACGAACTCTCCTTGTGAGTTACAAAGAGATACTTACTATTGCTGCTAGTACAACACCAGTGGATCTGATCAGCTAAGTATCTGTGGACTTCACGCAGTTAAGGAAACTCATATTTTTTTAAGTTAGATATATAATGAACAATAAAAAAATACATTTTTCTTAAATAAATAGATACATTTATTAATGAAAATTTTCCAAAACAGCACTGTTAAACCATACCTCAGTAGCTGTTTCATGGTAAATGTGAAGACTTCAAAAGATATCAACAATTGCATGAATTCTCTGATTCAGAAACAGCTAGTATAGTATTTTTGTGCATGTGTGACTGCACTTTCTTATTCAACATGCAGTGATAGAAATAACCAACTTCATTTTCTCATCATAAAGTTGTATAAAACAATCTTGTTAACATAAATTTAATCAAACAATTTCACTGAGTATAAAGAAATATAAGGTTTTGCTTCTCTGGTTATTTCACCTGTTTTAACTGCTTTTCTTAGATGTTGCTTGCTCATGTACTGCTTTCTTAGAGTCTTCATTACCGTGTTGCTTGCTGCTGACTTGCCTATTAGGTAGTATGATTGAATATTTAAGAAACAGCTCTTAAATATATTAACATACTTGAAAGTCAAAATGCTTCTTATTTAACTTCAGATAAACTAAAGTGAATATTTTATATTTTCTTCCATCCTTGAACAAACATTATCTCAATCATTAAACTCTTCTTCTTATCTGATACCCGAATAATAATAAAAAAAAGTAACCTTACATCCAGTAATGTATTCCAAACACAAAGAATCTCACTAAATGCAACTATGCCAAAAATGAACTGTTTTGGAATTCAATCATGCACATTAAGAGATCAAGAGACTTGATAAGAGATCAAGAGACTTGATCTCTTATTGATGTTTATCTGGTTATTGCAGTAATCATCTGATTTTATTTATTTTCTTCCAACTATCCCAGCAAAGTGTACTTACCATTTCTTGGCAAAACTGAAAATGCATATTCCAGTCTTTTCTCTATTTTTGTACAAAAATTGGTATTTGATAATCCATATTTATCTTTCTGTTTATTCTATCTTCAGACTGATGATGGAATTGTCAAAATATGGAGTGATTCAGGAAGTGTTAGCGATGAATGGAGAAAAGTTGAGTTACAGTTGGGGAAGCTGAGAAATTTTGAAGTTATCTTTGAAGGTATTCGTACCAGAGACCTGGGAGGAGGAGCAGCACTAGATGACATAGAGTTCAACAATTGCTCTATAGGTAAGTTCAAGATGGAAACTTCTAGAGGAATGCTAAAAGTGGGTGTAAAATGTTCTTTCTTGTTTTTAAATATCTAATGGTTTTACTGATTTTCTTGTAGTGCCTTTTTAAATAAATCTGTCAGGAATACATTGCTTTCTCTTATATAACTTTAATAATATTCTATTAATATAGAAAGTCTTGCATTAGTACAAAATTCTCCCACTGAGTTTTTGCAGATAAATCCAATAAATGTCTGAATTTATGTTTCCTTATTTGGTTTTAAGTACTTTTGTTCAGTGTATTTGATTGCTAAGCTGTTGAGTCTCTGTTTTTGTACATAGTAGTGTCGTAGAAACATCAGATTACATTGAGACTTGTGATCTCCGTGTTTTATTGCAAAATCTTGTTACATAAAAATAAGTTGAAACTGTAAATAAGCCACTGTCAGTATTCCTTTTCTTACTGAAGTTCAAATGTTAGAGCCATCAAAATAAACAAAACCTGTAACTCACAAGCTATTCATCCTAGTTAATTCATCTCCTTGTGCACGTAGTCTAAAGTAGAGTCAGAGTTTGAATTTAACATGTTAATAAATAAATAAGAAAAAAATAAAAGTTGTTTGGATTGTGGCTTTCATTAAGGACGAATGTGTTCTCTGTCTCTGGTAGAAAAAAGTGTGACAATAAAAGTGGATTGGTTGAGTAAGAAAATGATTGCTAAGATCACATATCAATATTGTATGAGTTTGGGGGATGTTATTTAGGCTAACTGAATTTTCTGCCATGGTCTGGATAATAATACTTTGGTTGGAAAAGTACAATTCTAAAGACCATATTTCTATCTAATTTTATCTGAAAAATATATGCAATTTATCCATTTGGAAACTGTTGTGCACTGTAAACCAAAACATGGAAACTGGAAATAACTTTGGTTCTGCTACAAAACTGAACTGAAAATTCTAAGACCAACTTAGCCTTAAAAGCACGTTTATGCCTATGAATGTTGTGATTCTGTTGTGCTTTTTCAAAATGTCACGTTGTCTCCACTGGTGGGCATGTAATCATTCTCCAAAGGACATAAGAAATGGTTAAGCCGGCCCTAGCAGAAGATGGGAGATCAACATTTGTCTGTAACTCATGAATGATGAGAAGATGTTGTTCTCCACTGAAGTTTGTTGACAAACTGTGCTCAGATATATTATTTCATAAGGTAGGATCTAGTTAAACTCCATTCCAGGGATTCTATCCCATTTAGGGGCTATAACAACTTAGACATTTCAAAGTCATTTTTGTGAATATATTCAACAAATAAACATAGCAGGGTTTATTTTTTGAAGGAAGAAGAAAAATTCCCATTAGATTCATAAATTGTCTCCTTTGAAGTTCATATTCTTTTGTAAAACATAAAAATACTTCTGCTTCATCTTAATTACATATATTTTATGATAATGTGAAAGTAGTTGTTACATAAGTGTTACTGGAAATATTCCACGAAATTGTCATTGAGCTGAAGAAAATGGTTTGAACAGGGAACTGGAAATGTGTCATATGAAGGATCTTAATGCTCTCAAACAGTTAAGATTGCTGAAATTTACGTTGGCTTTAATTTGCGGCACTATAAGTCTGAATATTAATCGTGTATTATAACCAGTGTTGCATTAATATACCCTGACAGAGAACGAGTTGAGAAAGTAACTTCAGTTTTTTACAATATGTAATGGTTTGTTTTATAGCATTTTTTCAGCAAGAAGCTGTTAAAAAAGCAGTTGCACTTTGTGCTATGATTATTTTAACATACTTATAGCTTTTGGTTAGTAATAGTAACATGTATTTTGCAGAAAATTAACGATTATGAAGGTGGATGATTCAGAAGAAGCCTTTCTCATATGAGTTTAAAATGCACAGTTGGAATTCAAATTGCAATACAAAAACATTTTTCTAAAGATTGGTTTAGTAAAGTCAGAATCCAAGGACAGCAATCCTTCATAGACAGATTTGTTGCTTGCATGGTATATGTTTTTATATTGCAATAAAACACAATCTTTATATGATGAGCTCACTTAACTTCAGTAGCATATGCCACATAATGTACGGCTTTCATTAAAGTTTAGGTGCATTCCTATTGGATTATTTTTATGCTTATGTTTTTGCTCTTCAGCAGAATCAGAACTCTGTCAGATATTTGCTTTTGAACTCCATGTTCTTGCATATGTGCATGTGTCTGAAAACAAAACAAGCAAGCAAAGAAGAAACCCACCCCCTATGAATTTCCTGTCTCTACAGTATCTGCAGTGTAATTAAGGTTCAAATCAAAGTCAAGAGGGAATCATTGCATTGTTTTTAGTGCCTTTCACATCAGGCTCATGTAGGGTTTGGGGTGTTTTTTTGGCTTTCACTCCACAAGATGAGAACCTTTTGCTTAATTTTCCTCAAGACTTTTGGCACGCTGACTTTCCTCTTGGCATGATCAGATGCAGGAGCCTGACTCAACCTTTTTCACTGTTACTGATACTGATTCTTTATCTCTGTAGAACATACTATGTATATGTTGCCATTTTCTTGAAAATTTCCCATGGGACCCAAGCCTGGGGGTATACATATCATGTCTAAATTGTTGGGGTTTTTTTCAGAAGAGAGTTTACATTTTTATTGCAATGGCTGTAACAATGCTAAAAGATAGCAAGCATAATCTATGGCAAAAACCTAAGAGAGAAGAGTGACATAAAAAACAGGCTTATTCTCAACTGGAGGACTTGATTTTCAGTGCTTGTTCATGTATCATGTTTGTAGCTCAGCATTTCTGACCCAGCAATGGGCAGGGCCACATCTGTATTTTCCACTGAAACTTTTTAGGTCAAGCAAAAATCTCCTACATTGTTATAGATATCCAGCCACAGTAATTACATAAACAGAGGAGTAGACCATGAAGAAAAGAAAAAAAATATAATTTTTTAAAAAAGCATGGATAACAGATTTGAAAAAAAAAAATAAAAAAAATAGCAAGAAATGAAAATGAGAAAGCCTGAAATGCATGGGAAAAGAAAGATGAGTGTTTATCTGCTTCCCAGAATGCAGCTTGTGGTGGGGAATACTTTCAGAACAGTTCTGGAGCTCTGAATGTTTTGGGGATAGCATTTTACTTTTTGCAGGCTGCCAAAGTGTATTCCTGGTTCACATTTTATAGTCAACACAAAAAAATAACTGCCTCCTTGCAGAAATAAAGTCCTTTAGTGGAAAAGGCTGTGTGAACACAAGACCTGCTTTACGGAGTATGGTAATACTTTGTAATAGTTACAGCAGTGTTTAATAAATCTAAAGGCTCAATTTGCTGTGCATGTTTGCCTTCAGCTTGCTTTCATACAGTGTGTTATAGAAAGCTGTACATCTCAAAGGAATCTGCAAGGAGGCAGGTTAGCTCTGCAGACTTCTTTGCATTTTACTTACATAAGTGTACAGTATGGTATATTATGATACGTGAGCATTTTCAACTGATAAGGGAGAAACTTTCCATTTTATTTGCCTTCTAAAGTTAATTAGTTAAATGCTTCTTTACTAGTGGAACAATACAGATAACTTTCTTATGATCGGAGCTGCAGGGACCCTATCCAGGAAGGTGTATTTCTCTTAGTTCTCTCTGATTTCTATAGAAAATAAGGTCAAGAAGTAACTAGATTTGCTGGAAATGTGACATGTCTTGGAAATATTGTCCTGAGACTGAAACATTGCATAAAAGAGTCTTATCAGTTGACTATGAAAGAGTAAGCTATGTTTTGATAACAAAAATAATATAAGTTCCAAATCTGATATCGTTTTACTTGGCAGTTTTTGTAGAAAAACAGTGAAATGTAATAGAGGAGTCTTGTCACAACCAGAGAAATGCTATTGTTAATACTAATATAATGATTTATTAATTAACTGCTTTTTTGCTTTTTTGCTTTTTTTTTTTTTCCAAACGAAAAAATTACTGTTTTCTTAGTCTGCAAATAACCAGTCATGGTCAGCCAATTATTAAAAAACATGACATTATGACACTGAGCTTTAAAGATGTAAAAGGAATTACTGTCCCAGAACTTGCAAAAAAAAAAAAAAAACAAAAACAAAAACAAAAACAAACAACAACAAAAAAAAAAACAACCAAAAACGCACATATATTTTAATCTTAGTTATTTAATAAATAACCTCTTAGTGTTCTGAGTGTTCTGCAGAACTACAGAATAAGCCTTCACTGATAATTTTGGTTTTGAATCTTCTGATACCTGTAACAACTTCTAAAACTTATGTTGGAAATAAGCTGTGATCTTCCTGGTTACCTTGAAGAGCACTTTAAACATTATTGGCTTGCTCTTCCCACTGATGACTTACTATCATAAAACAAGAAATCAAGCATTCAACTCATAAGACATGCTGTTGCTCTTAGCCTGTATTTTATATATACATTATTGTTTTAAAAAGTCTACTTCAGATACACAACACATATAAGACGTATAAGAATTGATATATACCTTACTCATCCATTCCACATCTAGTTATTTTAGTATTACAGGGCACCAGTTGAAAAACAAAGAAGGAAAAATAAGTAAAATTACTGTAGAAATAACTCTAAATTCAGAAGAAACAAAAATGTCTTCACTGATCTCAGTGAGCTGCCTGATTGGAATCACACTTTACAAGCTTTTCTCTCCTTGTTAAAAGCAAAATAAGGCAGTTATTAAATTGTAATTAGTATTAAAAATACTTTTTTTTTTTAAGAAAACAAAATCAAAATGCTGTGACTTTCTTATTAATAAGAAATAGATTTAACAAGTTGAGCAGAATGGGAATTTTCTTTAAAATGTAACAAAGCATACTTTGCCTGATGGTAAACTTGTCTTTCCCCTTCCTCTTGTATATTTGTATTCCTCCTCAGCTCCTGCTTATCGCAGAGACCATAGGTGAAGTTACAACAATCCTTTGAGCAACTTTACTTTCGTACTCCCATAAACAAGGAGCTTTGAAAGTCTCAGTGGAGAAATCCTTTCTCATTAGGATTCCATCCTTGCTTTGCAGATCAGAGAGAAAACGACTGAAATATCCCAGAGTTTGGGTGCATAGGCCAACTTTTTTACTTTTAATGTAAGCCAGTGTTTTCTTTGAATTCTCAAGTATGTATGATGCAAAGATCTACATTTAGTGAAGTATTTAGTTTCTTCTGCTCAAACACTTGTGAGAAGTTCAAGCTTCTATAACAGTAATATTCAGTCCAAACTTTGCCCTGAAGTAAGAATGAAGGGAATTCTGATAGGGAAAGCAGCTGGAGCCAACTAATTCTCTCAAGATACATATTTGTATTCAGTCAGAATGTATGTCCAGTTTTGATCAATGTTTTTTTCTCTACTGAGACTGTTTTTGTGCTTTATGACGTTTTCCACCTTTTTTGATAAATCATTAATCGTCAAGATATTCAGATGTGGAATACAGAAGTTGTATCATCTGGCTAAAACTTCTTGGTAAACCTGCTGATAATTATGGCAAAATTCTTATTTTCCAGAAAGGACTCCATGTTAGGAGAGATGTGGAGGAAATATAGGCTGCCCAAGCCCAGGTTACAAGGGCTGTCAGAGATACATAGGGGAGCAGCCCATAATGAGGAGAATGAGGAAGCCTTCTCAATATCTCTTTCCAACACATGAATTTAGTGGTGTGCAACTTCTCAGACCCCTGTTCTTCAAGGGAAAACACCTACTAAATTGGTATAATGGCAAAAAAAAAGAAGGGACGTTTTCTTGAGAGACCATTCCTTTTATTTGCCTCTGAGCAATAGTGTAACAACTGTGTACAGTACCCAGTAAAACAATTATAAAACGACATCGATGTTTCTCAGAATTTATTCAATGTCATATGATGCTAAAGGCATTCACCTAAGTGGTGTTGCATATGAAGATTTTCTAGAAATATGCGTATGAACAACCATAAAGTCATTCAAATATCATATAACCTAAATTCAGAAAATGAATTTGAGGGCCTTATTTGAACAGATTAAAGGAGAGAAAAGAAATATTGCACCAGGTTGGAAATCAAAACATCTCTACTATTGGGCCAAAAGAGAAAGCTTTAAAAGACTAGAAAAATATACATGTTAGTGACAGCTGGATTTTTTTAGATGAACTTTCTGATATGTAACATTGAAAGGAACTTTTCGAGTGTTCTCTGCACTGGAATCAGACAGGGTGATACAGGGAGGAGAGAAAGGACCAAGAGAGATAAACTACATTGCTGAACAGTTTCAGGACTTCTTATCCTGCGATTGAACATGTTCATAATTATTGTGAAGCTGAATTTTTTGCAAAAGGATCACTTGATTTTTTTGCCCTGTCTGCTCCAAAGTAAAATCAGCAGGCTACTAAAGGATAAAACCTGGAATAAATAAATTCTCAGTTCCTCAATTCTGAGTGCTGCTCTTTAATGTCTTCTTTAGAATTAAGCAAAATATGTCAGCTTTTTACATCAGTACAGTGAATGAGCTCCTTATCTTTCTGATATAGCGTGCAGAAAAGCCTATATTTCACTTTTAAACAAATATAAAATCATAGAATCTTTTGGAAGGGACTCTTAAAGGTCCAACTCTCCTGCAATGAACAGGGACACATACATGTGCTCAGAGCCCTGTCCAGACCTTGAGTACCTCCAAGGCAGGGTATCCATCACTTTTCTGGGCAATCTGTTCCAGTGACACACAACCCATACTTTTTTCTTAAATCCTGTGTGAATCTCCCCTCTTTTAGTTTGAAAAGGTTTCCTTCTGTCCAGTCACAACAGACCCTGCTAAAAATCCATCCCTTCTTTCTTACAGGCCTCTGTAGATACTGAAAGGCCACTTTTAGGTCTCCCCAGATCCTTCTCTTCTCCAGGCTGCACAGCCCCAGCTCTCTCAGCCTGTCCTCATAGTGGAGGTGTTCCATCCCTGGGATCATTTCTGTGGCCCTCCTCTGGAAACCTCCAAAAGGTACACATTAGTCCTGTATTGAGGACTCATCTGGATGTAGTACTACAGAATTCTTGTCTTGTCTGGTATGTGTTCTTATGCTCCGTTATGTCAGTATTAGAAATTGAAAATATTTATTTATTAGTTTAATCTTTTATATTGCTTAAGCCAAAGTCAGTTCTATATTTCCAGAATTGTAGATGAATTTTCATTCTTCCAGTCATTGGTGGCCTTAGTCACCAACTCTTACTAACCTTGAGTTTCTTTAGGAAAACGACTGACAGAATTTTGTATTCGAAGGCAAAATTCTCTCTCTGGAGTTAATATAATATATTATATCAGCTGTTTATGTCGGAAACAATACATATCTTCAAATGAAATCAGGCTTTTTCAATGAAAAATACATTGAGTAGAATTCCCAGTGTTTTTTTATTGATTCCAATAGAACCTTGTTTGAAATTATATTTAGCTTGCATCAGTAGGAACTTTTCTTCTAGTTTTCCCTGCAGAAGATCGTCAAGGTCACTCATAGTCAGAAGCATTACTGATGAGTATGCTAATGGAGCTTTAATGTTATATAAAAAGTCATGTAAAAAGGGTATTGAACAGTTGGGTTAAGCAAATGACAAGCATGATGAAAATTGTGTATCATAAATGCTGAACTTCACAGTACTGAGTATAGTTGAGTTGCTGGTCTGATTAATCCTTCTAGGAGCTTATAATTCATACATTTTAATTTAAGTGAAGGGTGAAACTTGGAGAGTAATGGTCACGGAGTAATACTTTCATCAACACTTTTTTCAGATACTATGAAAGAAGGAAGAGAGATGTTTTAAATCTGACACAACTTTGTAAAACAAGAGTGTTGTATTCTTTATCCTCTATTAGCAAATATAAAGAAAAGAAGTACATTTTCAAGTGTTCTTTAGTATGTAATCTTCCTGGTAATGGAAACAAAGTTTCTGAGTTCATATTGATCTATTCATCAACTATCTTCAAATGAATCTTGTCATGCCTGCACATTTCCAGAGTAATACATGAGCTAGTCTTTCATAGATAATTTAGAGATAGGAAATGGAGATATGTAAATGTATACCTTGTCATGAATCCAGATAAGAGTTAAAATGTGGTATGTATGTGTTTGTTCATGTCCATGTTGCTTTTTCCTCTCTATATATACAAACACACATATTAGGAAGGACACATTTGTCTTTGCTGGTACATTGAGAATTTGGCTATACAAAACAAAATATTTTGGAAAAAATATGACTGAATAAATGCATTTTCTTATAGCAGCCATTGTTAACATGCTTCTTTTGTAGGATTTAGTGATCCACAAGACAAGCCAATTCCATTAGTCTCTTAACAGCTACTTAGAAGACTATATGGTTCTTTTTCTGCATCATTCCACATTCTACCACATTGAAAAACAATACTCTGTTGTGTATGTATTTTGTTTTTCAAGTACTTCCATTTCATTTGGCTTAGGGATTAGCATAACATGCAGTTAGTAGTTCCTACTTATCTAAAATCTGTCCAGTGGTAGTTTCTTGTGATATTCAAGTTTTCAGTAAATGTTGCAGTTTCAATAGGACATGAAATAAACAGATATGATAAGTTATTACTGTTTTCCTATGCCACAATAATATATATATATTTATGAGTAATTTCAAATTATTTGTTGTATGAGGCTTCTTTTTTTTTTTTATGTATGAATTTCTGTTTGGTTACTTCTTGATGTTGAAGTCTTTTTGTTGTTCAAAAGGCAGTATTTATTGTTTTGATTTAGTTTTTTATCCAGTTTAAGAATTTAGGATAGAATGATTACGTACTCTGCAAAGGTGACATTTAATACCACAGCAGGAACTGTCAAACAGGAGTTAGATTATTTATTTAGAATGAAGATGTTGTGCAGATGCTTGTATGTTAATTCATATTTTTATTTTTATCTCTGTCAAAGTCTCTGACAGAGTATCTATCATGCTATCCCTAAAAGCGATATAGGAATAAGGTCTTACTGAAGAAAAATCAAAGTAACAGATGTGTGACTCTGTTTGGACTTTGTCATTTTCATTGGTAGGGATACAAGTTTTATTAGGACTATATATGGATTACATGTTTTATCTTAGGATAAGCTAAGAAATAAATACTACTAAATGCTAGATTCTGGTATGCTTGAAGGCCTGTAAAGTTCATTGTAAAAAAATCCTGCACTAATATGTTTTAAAAGTAAATGATAGGGCAACACTACATTGTCTTGCTGCTTGCAAAAAGAAGTTATATTAAATCGTTAATGGATAATTTACCTGCTTTTTTAACATTTCGTGGATTCTATTTTAAGGAAATACACAACAAACACGCAGAGAAACAGTCATGCTCACACTGATGTGAATTTCTTTCCAGGCAAAACATTCTTCCTGCAAGCTTTGGGACAGGCCAAGACAGTAGTCTGGGCATGCATGATGCACCGTTAAAAGAGTGGGACCAAATAACATCTGTTGGAAGCAATAAAACACTAAAGTCACGATGTGTAATAGATAAACAAATTAAAAAAGAGCATACTTGATTTAATACACAGCATACATGATTTAATTATAACACTGATATAAATGTCCTGTTGGTTTCAGCTGGAGAGAATCCCAGAGAATGCCCTGCCTTTACAGATTTTGTGTGTTCAAATGAGGACTGCATAGAATCTCAGCTTGTTTGTGACTATAAACCAGACTGTGAAGACCGATCAGATGAGGCTGACTGCAGTAAGTATCTCACTGTGTGTTAATGCTACCTCCAGTTAAAATTATAACTTTTAATTTCTAGCATAACTCAAGTGGATTCATTCAACTGTTCAGAAGATAATTACAAGCAAGTTGCCTACTCCTCCAGCACAGAAGGTCTGACATTTTCAGATCCTACTAGACGTTTACTGCACAAGAAGTGTGGTTTAGGCACAAAAGTATAACCTGCTCATTACTAAGTTTATCTAGAAAAATAAATGAACAGTTAAATTTAAGGAATAAAATCAGTGGATTACAATTTAAATTAACACTGAACACTAATTTATTGAGCTTAAAATATTTTGACCTGTCAATATTGAATAAAAAAAAATACAAATAAACGAATTAATGTACAATAACAGATTCTGTTATAAAAAACAGTTATGTAAAAACTGCTGTAAAAGCCTGTCTTTCAGATTAATGCTATATTTGCAATCTAATTTATGTTGCTACCATGTATTCATTGTTCTTTGTTCTTGATTTGACTACAGAGATATGATAGCCTTTTCTTCCTTTACATTATTATAGAGCAGTTGGAGAAAACCCAGTCTATATTTTTTGAATCCTTGTGAAGGCTGAGGCAAAACTTGCTTGCTAACACTATTTGAGACAGAAGGATACAGCAATATTTTGAAACTCTGGATCAATTTAACAGCATTTTCAATTTATGTTTGAAATTCGAAAGCAGTAAATCTTTGCACCCTTTTTCTTCCTTCAGTTCTTTGTTTATTGACTGTGACTCTCCAAACTAGACATTTGGAACAGGAAGCTTAAACAGCCCATGCAATTCAGTAATAAATCTAATTCTTAATCGTTAAGCTGCAGTACCAAATTCTACCATACTGCACATATGGTCAAAAGCAATCTTGATAGGTAGCGAAAGTAAATGCATCACATACATAGATTCATTTTTGTGGCCTCATCTTGAGTTGTGTGTGCAATTTTGGGCACCTCAGTACACCTCCTGGCATTCAAGGAGTTGGGACACCACTCTCAGATTTAGGGTTTGGTTATTTTGGGTAATCCTGTGTAGGTCCTGTCCAGGAGTTGGACTTGATGATCGTTGTGGGGCCCTCCCAATTTGGGATATGGATACTATGATTCTATGATTCTTTGTCACCATATAGGTGGTAGAATTTCAGGATGTACCTGATATTGAATCACAGTAAAGCAACATGGTCTTTGCAATACCTCAGAAGACCTCCAATGCACTTAAAAAAAAAAAGAAAAAAGAAAAAAAAAAAGAGAGAGAGAGAGAGAGAAAAGCAAACAGATATTCACTTTAAATAAATAGTTTGAAATATCCTTTTATAGTTTGAAATCAAGACAATAGTAGATGGAAAAGATGTGGTCTCAAAAAACTGTTTTTACTCTTAGGTCTTGCTGTTGCTGAGGAACAGAAATACTGTAATCTGGTATACTTAGATAAGCTTCAGGTATAGTCTTGCCTTGTCTGATATTTCTTAGTTCTTACAGATGAGGTCTGACATTTGTATAAACACACCTTTCCCTAAGCATATATTCTATAGAATGGAATAAACATAATTAATGGGCAATAGATAAATATTTTATTTTTTTTAATCTTCAGTCCCTCAGAAAATGGTACTGAAATTTTTTTTTTTTAGCCACTAGCTACCTGATATCTGCTTTGAAAACATTATCCACAGTACATTTATGATTATGAAGTTGATTCACTTAAGCAGAATGTACAAGGGCTTCTCTGAAAGAAATGCCTCCTATTTTATTACGTTGGCCCATAATGTCAGAGGTGGATATTGTTGGTATAGCATAGTGGTTAAACTTCAAGATCCAAACTCATTTCACATTCTGCTATAGTTTTATACCAGTATAACTCCAAATAAGCCAATGGGCCACAATCTACTCAAGAGCAATTCCTCTGTGCAGGATTTACAACAGAATCTGAGTAGAATGATTTGTATCCATGTAGCCTAGTAGAGCCTTTAAAAAAAAAAAAGAAGAAAAAAAAACCATAAACTCACAAAAATTACTTTCCCTATGCCTTGTTCCATTCAGTCAGGCAATCTAGCAAAATTTTCATTCTCTTTCGATAACCCTTTGGAAGTACTGAGGTGAAGAAAGCACACATGAAAGCAGTTTCAATTTTCACGAACTGCATTCAATTATATACCTGGGTTTGATTAATAGCAAAATTCAGCATTGATGAACCAACTAGTGAAGTGCTTAAATTATTGAAATGAAGGCAGTTTTTCAGATAAATGGAACAATCATCTGATGGCTTCTAAGAAGGTTCTGTTTACCCCTAAAATAAAAAATATGTATCAGGAGACTCCATCAAGGCTGTAAATATTGTTCATAAATATTTATTAATAATTGCATTCAGAATGTACTGTTAAAGATATTAGGGTAAAATTCCTGGAGTCAGGCAATCTACTATGAACAGTATAAATTCTAAATACATTTGTACTTTGATCTTGTTAGAAATGTATGAGAAAATTGTACTTGCTGTTGAGATTAATGGGTTCTCTCCTTTGCCCTAGCTGCATGAAAGGCTATTTAGTGGTAAAGCTATGCTTTACTGAGTTTCCATTAAGTTTGTAATGCAGTGTCAGTGTTGTTGCTCAGTGTATTCGTGTACTCCTTTCGCAATTCCCAAAGGCCAATCTGCAAACAGCTCCAACAGAATGATTGGGGTTGGAAAGCACTTCTGCAGATCTAGTCCAACATCCTGCTCAAAAAAGTGTACACTGGAGGAATTCATCCAGGGCTGTGAAAGTGATATTTAGAATAGGTTAAGACATATTTTAGAAATTATATCTTCAAAAGGGGAGACTACACAACTTCTGTGAGTAATTTGAACCAGTACTTGACAAGTCCAACAGTAAAATATAAAAAAATTAAGAACTATGTTTTTTGGTCTTTAAACAAAATTTCCTGCTTTTTTAACTTGTTCTTGTTGTACCTTGTCCAAACATGGGTGTCAACGGTTTATGGGCTGGTCCGGCCCAGTTCCGTGACCAGCAGGGTGGAGGGATCTGCGGATCCGCGCCTCTGGGAAAGGGGAAGCAGGGGACCCCAAAATACTTGAAAACAACAGCACTGATCTGAGGTGGAACAAATGATTTTACTAAATATAGTATTAGTAAAATACAATGAGAGAGAGAGAGAGAGAGAGAGAGAGTCTGTTTGAATTGTATAGACCTCACCACAATGCCGGGGTGAGAAGTGCAGTCCAGTTGAGTGACTGAAGTACAGACGGCGAAGTGCAGATGGCGAAGCGCAGGCGGCGAAGCGCAGATAGCGAAGCGCAGACAGCGAAGAGCAGGCGAAGAAGAAGGATCAGGTGACCTTGCTTGGAGTTATATCCCCTTGCTGACCGCAAAGTCTCCTGGGGAAATGTAGTTCTTCTCCGACGGACGAACATTCGGCAGATATCAAACCCCACCCCCAGTGCATTACATGATGTTATGGTGTGGAATACTGATGACCAAAAATCATAAAACCATGACAATGGGGCACCATTGAGAAGAAGCTGGCTTTGTTTTCTTTACACTCGCACAGCAAGTTTTTATATGCACTGACACCTACTGTGCTGCTATACTTTGGGCTGAGAAGTCCCAGCTCTCTCAGCCTTTCTTCATGCAGATGCTTAGTAAGAGTACAGTGGACTACTGAACAGTACAGAACCTTCTCCTAGCATCCAGTGAGATAAAGGTTTGATCAAACTTATTCTTTTCTTCATCCTAAACATTTTTTTACTGAAGAGACAAAAGGGGTTACGGTGAGCATGTGTGCAGATCTTGGTCAGGCAAAACAGATTTATGACAGTGTTATGTTTGCAAAGAAAAATGGCAACATTTTTTTTCTTGTAGCATCAAAGCAGGAAATAGGAAAAAAGCCTATCAGATGCCTAAAAATTAAACTTACTCTTATATGTAATTTTTTTTCTATCTACATCTGTTATATCTATACAATGGTACATAAATAATTGTATTTTAATGTTGTAGTATAGCTCTACATCAAGAAATGCACTCTAAGTCTTTACATCTGTTTGGAGTTCTGAAATATTTACAGGCAGACCTGCCTCTGAAATGCACGACTGGTTATGATGGCTAATTATTTGGAACCTTTCCCCAGAGTCTTTTACAGGCAAAATGTGCTCTCAATTTGCAGTCAGGTAGCTGACCCTGCTCAAATTCGAACCTGAAAAAAACTGAAAAATTTGCTCTTGGAAAATTCAGCTCTTGGGTATGGTAATCAAAGAACAGTTGTAACTAAGGAAAAGATTTTTGGAAGCAAAAGTAGAATTTCTGATAGCGTTTGAATAATCTCTTCCACAGCATTTGTACAATTTCGTTGACTAATTGTTCTTCAAAAGTCACTTGAAAAATAAGTGACAGATCCAGAAACAGGAAGTTTAACAGTGATCTTTTTAATTTAGTCCAGTGTCCTAATAGCTAGAACTTCTGCCCCATCATAAAGCTGCCTTCACACGTAACAATAGCAAGAGTGATCCAATGTATGTTCATGAAAACCACCACTGGGCTAGTGTTCAATTTTACTTCAGATTTTGCTGCACATCATTCTGTTTATTCATCTCGAATAATAGCTAAAATTAGGGAAGTTATCAATTTGTCCACAAGATTTACCTGGACACATGTCTTCAACAACTGCTTCTACTTGCCCAGGAAGAAATGGATGGTGGGTTTTGTGTTTTGTTGTTGTTCTTGTTTGTTTTGTTTGTTTGGTTGGTTCTCATCATTAACATATTATTTATGTCCACTTATGGGAAAATAGGGAATCATGATATTAGCAAAATAGAATCCTCTCCTTTACCATGTTCAGTATGTCCATTTCATTCTTGTAGAACTGAGGTGAGGCTTTCTGTATTTTCAGGTTACTACACAAGCATTCCTGGAAGTTGTAACTTTGAAACACAAGAGCAAGAATGGACAACTGTATGTGGATTAACACAAGACTCTGGGGATGACTTTGACTGGAGTGTTAGCAGTGCTGGTGTCACTGGAAAAATGAGTCCTGGTACAGACCATACACCAGGTATTCATGTGGGATACAGCAGAACTCTTTTAAAACTATGCAACATACTTCTATAAAACCACTATATTTTTAGAAGTCATCAATGAAAAAATTTATTAAGAGTTTATTTGAAAACTATTGAAAGATACAGATACTAATATTTTAATACAAAATAAAAGGGGATATATTTTTCAGTAATAATAAGTTACTATATTATTGATATTAATATTGTCAATGTTTCAAATAATCTACTTCTCCTAGAGTACTGTACAGTGATGATGATTAATGAACTCCTGGAAAACACGCTGTTTATTCACTGATCCTTAAAGAGCAGCTGAGGAGTCTGTGCGGATGCATGTGAAATGCTTAAGATTCATAAGTAGGGTCTTAACTTTTCTCCTTGATTTTGGCTTGAGAGAAATTTAATTTCTTCCACAAATATCCCAATCTTTATTTCAGAATTGCTTCATTGTATTGTAGAAATTTTAATGGTTAGGAATCCTATTGTAGGTTTTCATATGAGCAAAGAATTTTTTATATTCAACATAGAAGTGTCACAATATCTACAGTTTTTCTTTTGAACTGTTAATCAGTATGAACTCCATGTTTTAAGTTTTTTTGGTGTTTCACATTCCAAACTAAACAAAGACATCAGCAGGTGGCTGCAGCCATTTCTGTCCTACACATTAATCTTTACTTTTCATTTACCAGATCCTACACCTGCTGCAGGAGCTGCTAGCCAAATCATGAGGAAAATGCTTAACTGCCACCAATCACAGTTTGTCACTTTAGAAGAAGCAGATACCTATGCTAGTCTGTGTTGCCATTGGCTGTAAATGTGGAAATTCATTCCTCTTGAAAAGGGATGGAACAGAGAGAGATAGAAATTAATGCACCTATTCCAGGCAAGCTGTTCCTTGCAAATCAGCGGTCTGATTTGCTTTCTTGCTCTTCCTTTGATGCAGTGTAATGATAAATGAAACACTAGCCCTCAGCTCTTCAATAAGATATAGTATATTTTTCCATTTCAGTTCCTTAAATTCAATTGATTTATCTTTTCATCTTTGAAATTACCTAGCAATCATAAGAAAAATAAAGTTAATAAAAAGAGGAGATAAAGAAAAATGGAATTTCAGCAAATGTTTTCACAAAATTGCCTGTTTTTGTAATTTACTTGTATATGAAGTGAGCAAGAAATTTACACATTAGCTATAATGAAAAGGAATCGCTTGTCGGAATTGCGAGCAGTCTAGATACTGACTCCCTGTTATGTACAGAAATATCTGTCAATCCATTCAGAATGTTAATTTCTGAAAATTTTACATCGTTTTAACAGAACAACTTACTGCATTAGTATAGTCTCTAGGAGAAGATAAACCCTGTGATTTAAATACGAAACCTTTAGCGATAAATAACAGCTGTGTTTCAACTGTGTAACATTATGCAATCTGTCCACGGTGCAGTTTATTCAGGTCTCACTTGTAAAAACTTTCATTTCCATAAATTTCCATATCGTAATTTTTTCTCTTGTTCCAAAGCAAGGCACTTTCAACCTTCTACCACAGTATCCGTGAGGTATTTAAACACTCAAAGGATGTAGCTGTTCAAGTGCAGAACATTTCAACCTCACAGACTTCAACACCTGGAAAAGCAGATTTATTTAATTTTCATTGCCTATTATGTATATAATTTTGCCATATATCATATATTATTTATCAAGGAGGCAGACACCCTGTTATCACAGTTCATTCCTTAGTATGCAAATTTTTGGAATCATTATATTTATGAATAATATGGTATATCCATATAATTACAGTTTTGCAAATATTTTTTTCTCAACTGAGAAAATTCGTTTTCTGAAAAAGTTTGAAGCTTGACATGGCACCTAGATAAACCTATCTGGAAATCATTTCAAAAATTATTGCTTCAAGGGCAACAATAGAAATAGATTATTTCTTTGATAGATACTACTTATTGCAAATTATCCAAATTCTGGGTTTCATTTGACTGGTATCCAAAATCAATATTTATCTCTCTGAACTAATGCTCTCTAAGGCCTGTAAGCTTTTGTAAGTAGACTTACCAGTTCTGTGTACCAGCGCATTCCAGTATTTCATATGTTTATGCAGTTGAGGAACAGAAAGAATTGGCTGACTCTCTGAATACTATTAAAGAAGAGCTATGTAGTTTGGGACAGTAACGTTTGGAGTTCATAAACAGTACCTCCTCCTTACTGACTTTTTCAGGATCTGTGAATGAATGTCAGTGTTTGCAACATGATTTAAATTTATTACTGTGATATGAATCAAGTATCTAAGCAAGGATGAAAAGGCAAAGTGAAGTCTGCAGAATGTTATATTAATATTGAATGTAGTAAACACAAACAGGCAAACGTTTAACATCTCTAATTGAGGCTGGGTATACATGCATGTGGTAAAAGATAACAGCACCTGAGGTGGTAAATAAGATTATCCTCTAAAGCATGAAGTAGCACTGAAAAGCTTTAAGTGTTTTTAACTTTTTTTTTACTAAGGTAAAGGACAGCACTTCTTGTATGTAAACTCAACTGCGCAGGAAGAAGGAAGTAGAGCCAGGATAATCACTACCAAATTCTTCCCAGCCAGCCTTGGGGTCTGCAGAGTTCGATTCTGGTTCTGGATGTTTGCTTCTAGGCAAACAGGAGTCTTAAAGGTAAGAGAAAATCATTTCCACTAAATCATGCCATAGTAATACTTCATTAGTAGTGGTTTGAATTTCAGCATCTGAAGTGATCTCAGTCTCAGAGACTGTTAGCTGTACTTCACCTCAGCTTCACTTTCATCACACCAATACACAAAAAAATTCTGTCAACTGTAACAATAATGACTTTGTTCTAGTCTTATTTTCACTTGAAGTCCTTTTACTACCTATACAGGAATTAACATTGCCTATCTCACTATCAAAAACTATCAAAACCTTCTTTCCTGTGTACTCTGTGTACTCTTCCTACTCTAGGGAACCTACTTTAGCAGGTGGCTGGACTAGATGGTCTCCAAATGTCTCTTCCAACCCCTACGATTTTGTGAATCTGATTCTGTGATAGTTCATCGTAATTTTTTTAAAGCAGTTTTCATACAACAAGCTTGTAAATTTATTATTTGAACACAGCTTTTAAAATACTACGTCATGCCTTCAAACCTATTATTCTTCTCAGTTTACATTATTTATCCCTCCACATATTCAAACTCTGCGCATTCAGATTAAGAAAATAGAACAGCAGGTAAAGGTCAAGAGCAGTTACAGATTAAATTGAAGTAAAAAGCACACAGTGATTATCTTTTGGATCTGTTGATAATTATCCATGTAATATTTGTTTTAAGTTCAGTATGCAAGAATGTGGACAAGATTTTTTTATTTAAGGAGTTTGTAAACTGGAGCTTTTTCAATCATTGCAGAACACTTAGAATTATTAAATAAGTAGAGTTCTGTATGTGTTTAGGTGCCAGCCAAAGTCTGCTTTACTTTTTTCCTTTTTTTTGTTTCTTAAACCCCTTTCAAACAAACTAGTTAACTTTGATTAGCTTTGATTTCAGAAAAGAGATCCATTAAGAATTTTCTTAATCCAGCACACAAGTTTTCCTATCAGCAGCATTGCTTTTTTTTTTTTTTTTTTTTTTTTTGGTGTAGAAACACATTAAAATATCAAGAATAAAAAGGAACTGCAATCAGTTAAATAATAAAAAAAGGTCCAAAAGATTATACCAAAAAAAAAAAAAAGAAGGAAAGCCAAAAAGGCAACAGCCCAGTGAAGATTTTTGCTCAGGCAATGGAGGTGAAAAAAGTCAAATTGTAGTAGGAAATCTGAATATTGTGCTGGAATATAATAATGTCACTACTACAGCTGATATTACAGGCATTATCTGATATACAGCTTTCTGCAACATTCTTGTCAGATCTGTATTAAAAGACTGCAAAGAGAGAATATATGCAGAGATGAATGTTTAAAATGACTAAATCTGTAGAAAGAAATATAAAAATGAATGATGTCTCAATGTAAGTAGATGTAGTAGAGCTTCTCAAAATAATGTAAAGCAAGAAAAAATGTTATGGAAATAATTCTATTTTAACACAACAAAGGGAACATTCATTGAGATTAGAGAAAGAAGAATTAGAAGTACTTTCTCTTCTTTATTCAAAATACATATTTCAGTGACAGATTTCTATTACCATAAACTTTGTAATTTTTTACAGGGAAGCAAAAGCATAGGGTATTATTGTTATTAACTTTAAAAAGGTTACAATATTCACAAAAACTCTTCTTGCATTAAGATAGAATGAATGTTATTTTTAAAAGATCTGAGTACTAATGCTTTGGGATATCAGTCAACTAGTAGCCAACAAGATAAGAAAATAATTTCATAATGATTTACTACAAAGCATAAGATTTTCTTAGAAGTAATTGGCAACAGCCTTTGAGAGTTGATTTATTCAGCATTAAAAACAGGACTAGTCTGATATATTAATTAATATACTCTTAAAAGGAAATAATTCGAAATGTATGTGATTTTTACTGTGTAAATCCTGCAAATGTAAATTTAAAAACATACATTTTTCTTCACGTTTGGTAACTGTTTAGTTGTTTTTAATGAAACAGTAGAGACATTGCAGCATGAAATCAAGGTTATTTTAACATCTATTGTGTTCCAGTGACAATCCTACTTTTCATGTGTCAGAGAGACAGAAAGCATTCTGCTTTCATTAAACTGTGGCATGCTTTTTCTATTAGTTTATTCCAGGAGTTTATGAGTTTGTCATACAGTTGAGAATTAAATCCAATGTTAATTCCCGAAGTGATAGTATAATTCTAATATATTAGTCTTCTGCCTTGATATTTGTTGATACTAAAGGAAATGAGGTGCAATAAATTTTTGAGTAGGATGGCTCAATTTTACTAAAAATGGCTATGTTTTCATTGCTTCAAACTCATGTTTAAGGCAAGAAAAAGAAAAGAGGCACCACTTCAAGTGTTTCTCCAGAATAATAATAAATGGTGATTCTATTTTGCTAATCTGCTCACGGGCTTTAGAGAAACAATTTCATTGCTCCTGTATTTCCTATAGATCCAAGTAAGTGTACAAAGATGACTGCCAAGGAACGAAAATAGTTGGAAGACATGACCTTAAGGATATGGAGTAGAAAACTTAGCAGCTTTATTCACTGGAGTCGTTTTTTTAACTGACATGTCTCTGTTGCCTATTATATGTTGTCTTTCCCAAGATTCTCCTGCTTCCTAGGCTGGTGATTTGAGAAAGTATGGTAGGAACATGGGGAGAACACTCTCTTCAGAGTTACTTTGACTTCTTGGTTATTAGCCAATTAATTAACCTTCCAGATGGAACATAGTACCTTCCTGTATAACAACTACTAGAGTCAGGGAAAATCAGGAAGATTCTTGAAGAGTCAACGTGAGGGTATGAGACAGCCACATGAGTTCTACTGCTGATGACTAAGTAGAAAATTACAGTTTATATTTTGTGACCTTCAAAAGCATACACTTTACTTACCCTCAAAATGAGATGAATTAAGGCGTCTCAGAGAACAGAGAACATGCTGTGGAGAATTAAAACTGAGTCATGATTTTAAGCAGGGGAATGGGATTTGTGAAAGAATGCCATTCACATATGGACCACAAATGAACCAGCTGGTAGAGGCACCTTGGAGAAAGACCAAGTGGTAACTATAATAGCTTCTCTCATGCATTTGCCTTTTGAAGATTATCATGCTAAATTCTTCTTAGAATCTCCATGAAGTGTGTATTGGGATATTTTCAGTCTTCAGCTTTTAACTCCACAGTAAATGAAGTGATAGTTCTATTTTTGCTGATTCCTGTTCTTTGTGATTTAGACTGTGTATGAACTCCAGAAAGTGTGTCAGTACGAACTGGCTAGTTAGTGCAATATATGCTTACACTGAAATTAAAATGATAGTATTTACCTTACAGTTAGTTTGAGCATGCTCTCCTCAGCCTGGTAGATAGTTATTCAACAGGATTTTAACCGAAGGTGCAGACTTAGATTTACTGTTATTGTTTGGTTGGGTGGGATTCATTTTATTAGCTTTTTCCTGTTTCAAGCCTTAAATTGTTTCCACCAGGCTAGCTAGTGTGCAATTTGTATGTTGCTTTGTGGGGAGGTGTTGGAAAATCTCTAAAGGCACTAAGCATTACAGCACTCTAACTTTCGAGGGCATTGGAGAGCTTTTCTACCGTTCATGTGCTGCGTATGTTTACAGATGTACTAACTCAGCACTGCTGAGCAGAAACTGAGGATTATTCTCATTTCATTCTATGTCAGCCTTACTCAGCAATTATACTATGTGTATCCTTATGAAAAAGCAAAAGTTTTCTGTACACTAAAGAAACTCAAAAAATGCTTCAAACTTCAGAGACAAAAGTAACCTTTGTGAAGGATACACCACGACATCTTTTACTTTCTGTGGGCATAATCTGAGAGATCTATATTCCAAGCAAAAGAAACAGACACCATTTTTCTGAACTCAGTTGTAATCTCATCTGATTTACCATATATTTTAAATTACGTATTTTTTCAGAAATTTCAGCTTCAGTTTTTAAGAGACATACAGAAAAATAACCACTTTCTTGATTAAGTAGTGGATAAAGACTTGAGGAAGTGAAGTAAATGCATTCAGGAGCACTGCAGCAGAAAGTTTATTTCTCATACTCGACAGAAATTTCTAGGCTGGCTTGTGTGTACACAGCAGCCTGTATTCCATTTGAGATCAGTCTCCATGTAGACATGATACTTCTCAGTACATACAAAGACCTGCTCAAGCAGGTAGCATGCTTTGAAAAACCTCTCCTACCAACTTGATGATAAAGCAGACATAGAAACATCTGATTTTAAACTGTGAGACAGCCTTCAAACAAAGAGATTCTAGTATTGTCTTCAAAAGTGTTTGGTTCTTCCCACAAGTTGTTTGTTCATCTGTGAAACTTTTCTATTAGGTGTACCAAATGCAATATTATTATCTCAGTATTAGCCTTCAAAAAATAGAAAATGTCATTGCATGACACAGTAATAGCTAAAACCAACTAATACTGTTGTGTGTTGTAAAGATTTAGAGTAATGAGACTGTAATATTTCATGATTGGTGAAACAGTGAATGGTCCCTGTGATATACATACAGTTGTTGTAACATAGTCTTGACTTTGCCTGCAGTTAGTCTAATTGGGAGATTCAGCTTATTAAGGACTTATGACCTGATATTGTGAATGCAAATAGTTTTTTTTCCATTTTTTTAGTGGCTTAATTCAGCTATTTTTTCTCAAAATTCAGCATGCTTTTTAGCTTTTTGGAAGACTGTTGCTGGATAGTGCTGTTACACAGTCCTATAATACAACATCAAACTTGGCTATGTTAGGTACTAATTTGGATTATTGTATGATAGTACTCTTGCTTCTCCTTTCTTCCAAAACAGAAACAATGTACAATTGTTTGGTCATTACAAATATTTTGGTCAATGCAGTAACTTCTGTAAAGTATGTGGTTTGGGTTTTTATCTTGTTTGTCTCACTAAGCTGGCTGGGAAACTCAAAGATATTTAATTACACATATAATTGATATGGATTTAAGTTTATAACTTTCTTCAGTCTCAGATTTTGTGGGATTCTTTTCATGTTCCATTGTTTAAGTGGGATGCTAAAGCAGAAACATAAACCACCAGGTCAACTAATGAATAATTAGATTATAAACTTGAGAGAATTATAGTGTTCAAAGTGTGAAGAGGAGAGGATAATAATTAAAATGTTCTGTCTCTTAAAGAAATAATTATCAGCTGGAATGGTTGGAATATGCTGACTTTCACTGCTCTAACTCTTTTTCATTATATCTGACCCTGGTTTAAATTGTTTGAGGATTTTGAACACCTGAATGAGAAATGCAATCTACACAATTTCCAGAAGCCTGTGCATGACATTAATCCACCAAGTGTTTACCTGTGAATTCACTTGTCATTCCTATTTCTTTCAGTAATTTTCTTTATTTTATATTTGTTGTTGCTAAATATGTTTAGGTTAACTTACCATGAAACATAGTATAAATTAATTGTACCAAACTAGAGGCTTTAAAGCTGAATACTGAGCTGATCATCTATGTCTCCAAAATCTTCACCTAGTCTATCAATTTTAAGAAGTGCATATTTTAGAAATGAAAGGGTAGCTCTTGAACATTCTTAGTCTTTTTTTCAGTGTTTAGATGAAATTTGGGTTAGGTCTTTAGTCCTTAGCTTCTATATGATGAGACAGTCTGTAGGTTTTTCAAGTAGCAATTCTCTTAGCAATTCTTTTTTTTTTTTTTTTTTTTTTTTTTTCAGAGTAGCTTTTTACTTGCAGCTGAGTTAGAATGAGCAAAAGTATTTAATAACTTTTGTATCTCACCAAGAAAGCTATATTACTGTGGCCAGACATATTCCTCTGTCTCTTCTCCAGCACTGAATCAATTACATCTCTTGGACTTCTTGGTCAACAGGTATACTCAGTTGAAGAACATGGAATGGATATTCTTATGTGGTCTTCTAGCAAAAATGAAGAAAACAAATGGATGTATGCAAATGTGGTCCTTTCCAGTAATGCTCCTTTCAGAGTTGCCTTTGAATTTGAGGTGGGGCAGAGTGAACCCACGGAATTTGCTCTTGATGACATTTCTTTCACCCTAGAGTGTGTGGATGGAGGTATGTTATTACAGAAATATTTACAATACTGTTATATTTTTAGGCTGAAGAGGAAAACTGTCATTGCATATTGCATTGAACATCTCAAATAGTATGATCTGGCTTCTGCCACACAAACTAACTGAATCGAACTCTGTAAAGAAAATCAGTTGAATTCTAATACCTTATGAAGCCATATGTATTCTGTAAGAAAGTCAATTATTTCCTTAGCAAATTAAATGCCACATATGATAAATTATTAAAATGTATTAATAATTAATAATATTAAAATATTAAAATTTATGTGCAAATAGAGATTCTAATAAGAATGTAAACCATTCCTAATCTAAGATTTCTCTATAAATCTTTATTCATAAGGATTCATAAGGATAAGGCCACAAAAGATTGTGGCTAAACAAATTCCAATGCAGACGTTATAAAAATATTCTTGAATAGCTAGAAATCTATACTGCTCTTATTGTTCAGACTGTGTATTGAGTTAGTTGTGAATCTATTCAGTGCACTGCTTTGTTAATTTTGATGATTAAGCAGCTCCTTGAAGAACTAACCCCACAGAGATTAAAACAAGAAGTGAAATATATATTCAAGTAGGTGGCATTTACTTAGATCTCAATCTGAAAAAAAAATTTGATTTTCCAACCAGTAGGCTAGCTAAGGAAAATACTGTTTTGGAATGTATTATAATGAACTGCAACCATGTACATAAACAAGTGCTCGTCATGTTAATACCCTTTTCAAATTGTACCTTAAGATATATTTAGTCATTTACATGTGTAATATAGCAAAGTAGAAATTTTGAAATAGTATATTTTGAGTACTTGGGATTAACAAGCCCTTGGCTTCTATTTCAACAGTGTATATAAATCAAATTTCTATTTTTTATGGATCTTTGCTTATTTATTATGAACAAGTATGTATTCCTACCCCAGGCAACGTTACAGGACTGGGGTAGAGTGGCTGGAAGACTGTGTAGAGGAAACAGACCTTGGGCTCGGCTGAACATCAGTTGATGGTGTGCCCAGGTGGACAAGAAAGCCAATAGCATCCTGGCTTGTATCAGAAATGGTGTTGCTAGCAGGAGCAGGGAAGTAATTCTACCTCTGTAATCAGCACTGGTGAGGCTGCACCTCAAGTACTGTGTTCAGTTTTGGGCCTCTCACTTGCAAGCATGACATCAGGGCCCTGTAGCATATCCAGAGAAGGGCAACAAAGCTGGTGAGGGGTCTGGAGCACTTATGAGAGCCTTGTGAGAGCAGCTGAGGGAGCTGGAGAGGAGGAGGTTCAGGGGAGACCTTATTGTTCTCTGTAACTACCTGAAGGGAGGTTGTAGTGAGCTGGGATTCGGCTTCTCTCGCATCCCTAGTGATAGGACTAGAGGGAGTGGTCTCAAGCTGTGCCAGAGGAGATTCAGACTGGATGTTAGGAAATAATACTTTTCAGAAAGAGAGGTCAAGTGCTGGAATGGGCTGCCCAGGGAGCTGGTGGAGTTACCAACACTGGAGTTGTTCGAGGAACGTTTGGACATTGTGTTTGAGGCACATGGTTTAGTGAGAACTGTTGGTGATAGGGAATGGTTGGACCAGATGATCTTATGGATCTTTTCCAACCTTAGTAATTCTGTGATTCTATGATTCAGATAAAGGAATAAGCATTTAATGATAACTAGAAAAATATAATTTGCAAAACATTGATTGAAGAATGATTTTGTCATGTTTTTTTGTTCTTATCACATTACATCTCTTTTGCATACTATGCTGAAAATCATCTTCCACTCCTTTCAGTTCAAAGCCTTCTATCCTTACATCATTTTGTCTATACCTCTGTATGTAACCTGTAGCTTACATTACATATCCCATACATTCTCCTAATGCTTCCACAATTCCAAATACTATTATTTCAGCTCCTCACTCAGCCTGTCTTGCTGACAGGCTGACTTTCAGACATCCTAATTCCACGTTCCTCACACGTTCTCTACCTCTGCCAACCAGTCCACAGCTATGCATGCACCCTGACAATTCTGCCAGTTCCTCCTACTATCCATTTGTCCAGCCTCCTCCAGTGTTAGTCACTTTTTCTGTTGCACCAGCTGTGTATTTCTACATTTCTAAGAAAATCAAAGGCAATCTCCTGATGAGTTTGTGACTTGATGTATCGTCTCCTCCACAGATCAGAAATAATATCTAGATATTACTTACTTGTGTTTTGACTTTTTGTTTCTCTAGCAGTTTCGTATTGCTTTATGAAAAGTCCTATCCTAGTCTGTACCCTAGGGTGGGTGCACCCAGTCTGTCCTTGCAAAGAGGCAAAAGAACTTCAGAAAAACTGCATAATTAAATAAACCTTAGTTACTTCGGAAGAAGAGCTGAACTCTGACACTTTAATCAAGTGCCTAACAAAATGTAGCTGCTCTGGACAAAATGCTATTTTTCACTGATAACTTAAAAATTGAGACAGTGAAATTTGAAAATATTACCTACAAATAGTATGAAATCAGTGCTGCATAAAGAGAAAGTTCAGTATACCGTTCTTGCAGATATTTGAGCAAGAATATTTTGCTTTAACAGAATTGGTGGGTACGTTTATCTACTACACTGCCAGAACTGCTTTGATTTTTGTTCCTCATGTTTATTCAGAGACTTAGTTCAGAGAAAAGTGTGTATACCTGCAGTACAGGTTTTCTGTAATGTTCTTTCTTTCAGGAGGTAACTTTGCTCCTGAATATTTTTTCCTTTCACTGCATTATTATTTTTCAGCTGTTCTTTAATTACTTTGGGTTTCCTGAGGCAACATGTTCTAAACAGAAGCAATCACAATTTATCTGGTTGGGAGCTCTAAGCAATAAAGCATTACCAGCAGCTCTAATTCAGCTGAGATTTTTATTTGTTTTTAAGTAGTCAACCCTCATTAGACAGGCAGGACAGTTTCTTCACATTCAAGAATATTTCTGAATGTTTGAACAAAGAGTGATCAAACTAGTCCCTGGCTTACTACAGAAGTAACTTCTAGCTGATGCTCATGCATGGAGGAAGCTGCAGTGCCAGCTGCCAGTGGCACAAAATCTAACCTGGTTCAGAATTAACTGCTAAATGAAAGGTAGTCTTACCAAGTTTCAAAGACCATTCTTTTTTTCTGATATAGTGTGTGAAGTTTTTATATTTCCCAACAGTACTCTACTCCAGAGATCATCCAAGCAAAAATTATTTTTGCTTATGGAGATTGTATATTGGTAGAAGGTATGCCTCATGGTGATCATCACTGATTTCTGCTGCAACCTGTCATGTGGTGAAGTTCTCCACTAACCCTGTTAGCCCCTCCTTAACATCTCTCTGTGAACTTTCACTTCTAAATAGTACTGCTTGAAGTAAGCAAACACAAATAGGATACATTGCCTCTGTGTCATCTGATCATGGCAGAATTGCACAAAACTCTGTGTTGTTTCTCTACAGTTGATCTACTCCTGCAGATGATCTTTCCTACTTTCCAGAGGAGTTAATATTGCAAAGAAGTTCCATGATAAAGGAAGTGACAAAAATCACAACATTTAGTACAGTTACACTTAGAATTTCAGATTAACCATGGCGAGAAAAAGATCCATCTTGTATAACGTGCCTCCAGTAGTGCTCATTTGTGGATGCCTGGGAGAGCAGTGAGCATTCATTCCCATGATGCGTTCCCCACTGCCAGCCATTTCTGACTGTTTTCCCAAGCCACATGTAGGTTCAGCATAGTGATTCACTGCTTTTTTACCCTTGAAAATTGAATTTCCCATTTTAATACCAGCAAACTTTTTAGTACAAACAAAATATATTCCGATGCTTGTGTGAATCTAAGTTTATCTTCACAAGCAGAATAGCTGTTCAGTGTTTTCTCTTATAGGCCTTGAAAACTATAAAAGCAGTATTTAAGTATTGATGATTCACTCTTCTGTCTCTTAGAATTTCTTCAAGACTTCTCTATATTGTAGTTTCAGGTGTCACAGAAGATGTGTGTCTGGCAGACCTAGTCCTGAAGTTCCTTCAGAACAAAAATAATTTCCACTGACCTCCTAAGAAAAGCAGAATTAGGCATTGCCTAATATCTGTGTTTACCCAAAAGAGTAAAGAGGAGAGGATCCCAAAGGGCAGGAACAGCAGAGTGTTTTCTTATTTCAAGCTGAAAGGAAATGGACTTTACCACAGACATCTTTTTAACAGAAACCGTCTCAGATGAGTGTTCATAACAAAAACACAGCAGAATGCAGATTGCTCCTAAGAGTTCTTCATTAAACGTAGTAAAGGACTGTGGCACTTTATGTAGATCTAATTTCACTGGGTCTTATAAGAAAGGCCCATAATTCATACCTTTATCTAACAGCCTGAAAAGTTTTGCTGAAGGTTCTACATGTGTGCGTTGTGTGTGATGTGATAGATTCTGCCAAAGGCTTAAAGGGATTTTATGATCTGTCTCTGAAATTGAACATCCCCAAGTGTGAACATGAGACATTCTGGAATGGTTAAGTGCTTGAACTGCACATAGTACAACATCAGATCATGGGGAAAAGCTCTGTAGAGGACATTTAACTGAATTCTCTAAGTTGCAGAGCCAAGAGAATCATTGTTAGCTTGTCTGCTCATGCTTGTAGTTAAGCAGGTTGAGAGCTCAGGGATTCTCCCTTCTCAAGGGTGAGATATGACTCAGGGGAAGTATGCCTCTATAAACAAAGGAGGGGAAGAGGGAAGCAAGGAAGTGATAGAGGGCTTGGGGGTGTTTGTAAATAGTTTCTCTAGTTAGTCTCTCCCTGAAACAAATCAGAATGTCTTATATATCCCCTTTGCTTGGCAGAGATAGGACATTTCTGCATTTATAAAGAAAAGAAATTATGACTCAGAGTTTAACACCTCAGGGAGATTCTTCAGCCTGATTCAGTATCTTTCAGTGCACTTATCTGGCAGTGAAGCCACAAGTTTTGCTGATTTCACAGGAAGGGAAACAGGGAATACTTCTAATATGAGATAGAGTGC